TGCCTCAAATCAAGCTAAATTAAAAAATAAATAATATAATTGTATTTATTTTTTTCAAAATACTTAAAAAAAAATTTTACCTAAAATTTAACATATATTAAAAGATAATTTCTTTATACAAATAAGTTATTAAATTAATTAGCAAATGTTATTAATGAAAGTTGTTTATATAGAAAATTAATTAATTATAAGACCGATAAATTTTAATGATTTTAGCGTTAATGTGATCTTATTTAGATCTGAACGTTGATATATTATTCATTGTTATAAGTAATGTAATAACCTAATCATAAAGTATTTGTTAATTAATTACATGGACAATTATATGAAAATATCAGGAGTTTTCAATATTATACGGAATTTATTATATATATTCTTTCAACGATTAGTTTATAATACCAAGTATAAAACGTTAAACGCAAAGGAAAAATAACGAAAGAAAAAAGGAATAGTTCTATTTCATTTTTTCTATTTTTCTGTCTCGTTTTCACAGTTTGCCTCACTCATGTTCAGTTAAATCTTCCATGTTTATACCTTTGCGTAGTTTCCGCGTTCTGACCTGTCACTTCTATCACATATTATATCGCGAAAGTCGTCCGCGTTCAAACGCTACGAAAATAAACGAAATAAATGAGAGAATAAAAATCCAAAGTCGGCGTAAATAATGGATAAAAGAACAATGACGGGGGTGACATATGCGAAAAATCGGCTACGGTTTTCTGGATGAAACATTCCCCTTGAATTTCTTAAGCGATGTTGAACTTGCCGCAATTCCGCTTGCGCTTTCAAGCTTGGGAGCTTTTTAGCTTGCAGCTTGGTAACACGGGAGCGCCTTCCAATTTACTGGGATTTTGGGCGACGTCCTTACTTCCTTACTTTCTCTATACTATTCTGACGTTCTCGTGCTTTCTCACGCACCACGTAATGTCGTGCTCGTGACAAGAAAATCATCATTCTGTGCTTATTCTTACGGGGTTGGTTGCAAGAAAGTGTAGTCTACGCACAATTTTAAGACGATTGTCATTATGTTATAGCGTAAATTATCTGGTGCACCATCATAAAAATCTTTAAATTATAATATTTAATAAAGCAATTTCGGTCACTCATGAAAATACATGGAATTTAGTGAAAGATGATTTCACATTTAATGTATATTTTTTCCACTTTCCTAAATTCTACGTGGAATAAATCGAATAAATATATAACTAGTTCTTATCATATTAAATTGAAAATTTCATTAACAGAAAGGCGCGATTAATTTTTTTATTTGTAATTATATTTAGAAATGAACAATATTGACCTGATTTAGATGCTCATTCTTCTAAATCATTTCAACATTAAACGAATAAATTTTAATGTTTTTTTTTTTTTGTCAGTGTTGTCTATAATTGAATATTTAGTTTTTATTTTTATTGCACATACGCAAATTGATGCGTAAATTGAAAATTATTTACCAAAAGTAATAATTTTATATATACAGAGATATTATTATTGTTAGCATATAATGTTCAACTTTCAACTTTCAATATATATATATATATATATATATATATATATATAAACGTTTAATTTTTTTACGAATAGTAATTGCATACAAATTTATTTCAACTAATCTAAAATAAAGAGTAAGTTAATCACTAGCCATCATATTTTCATTTATATGCAATAAAGCTATCCAATATGGAAATAAAAACAATTAAGTATATATTAAAAAAATAAAAGTGCTAATTGATTATTAAAAGTATTTTATTGTGAAGGTGGAAGTCACATAAGAAAATAAAAATTAATATGTCTTTTTTTAAATATCAATTCTGATTAAAATATTATAACGAAATATCTACTTTTTTTGTTTTCTTTTGTTTTGTTTTGTTTTGTTTTGTTTTTTTTGTCTTCTTATGAATTAATAAGAGCTATTAGGAATACACATTGGAAAAATTATATAAATAATAAATTTTAACTACCTCCTAGCTTTTTTAAGCATATCAAGTATAGTTGAAACAGCAATGAACACTAACTAATCACAATGTATGGAAGAAAGAGTATGGAAATTGAATTAACACTACAAATTGTTAATCCAAGCGAGCAATCTAATTATTGTTTTGACCACAATGGGGCGAGTGGAAAAGCCCATTCTTATGCAAACTCACTATCAATCATTGCGAATGAATTAATTGTTTTATAAAAGAAAGTACCAATACAAAATGTTTGAGCTAAAATCAATATACTTTTTAATTTTTCAATCAATTGCCATTGTTTATAATAATAAGATATTAAAATATTTATGTAAAGGAACAAAAAATATTACTGTACACTCATAAGTATTTTATTAATATACACTCAAAAGTATTGAAATCTATAACAAAAACAAATGACCTAAAAACACGAGGCAACTGAAGGATTATAGAATTCACAGATAACGTAAGGCCTCGTGTGAAGTATAAGTAAAACTTGAAATTAAAAAAAATCAAAAACATTTGTATACAAGTGATAAATTGTGTAATGTAATTTATCAGGCAAATGTTTTTAAGTGAAATAAAGTAAAAGAATTTTTATAGAAAACATTTGCTGATTTAGGAAAGAAAGTTAAAAAAAATAATCAGAGGTCCGAAAAACCCAACCTCCTAATTTATGCTTTTATAGCAACTTCTCAATTAGATATAAAAACATATATTTTATGAAATGAAAAATTAACAATGCTAATGTAAATGACTTCTTTTTTATATTATGAACATTTTAAAAATTTTTATATTTTAATATTGGCTCTAATGATAATTTTATCCTAAAAATTGTGATTATTTGAAATTATTAAAAGATATCATTGTAGCCTGAGTCATTGATCAATGGCGAAGCGGATATTATATAATTTAATAGGTATCAATTAAGCAAAAAATTTCGTAATAACTTAAACCATAGGAAATTGACGTAAATGATGTAGGATGCATTGCAGTATGGTAGGATGATTGTAGGAATTATTTCAATAATTCTATAACAATTTGATCTTTTAAGTAATTCCAATCTTTTATTTTGTAGTTAGTAAATGATTTATGAATTTAATGTAACGACTGGCGAATAAAAATACAATCATTCTAATCTATAAAGGTTCAATCGTAATAATATTTGTAATAAAATTGGTCGTTTATTGAAATATACATTATGCTTATAAATGATGATGTTAAATAGAATGAAAATCATCTTTAATTACTTAAATCCACTCGATGTTTTCATCATGCTAATTTATAATTGATTACAAATTGAACAAATCCTATCTCATGTCACTTTATTCGTAGCACCTCCAATTGCGGATAGTTGAATAATGAAATTCCATTTCATGTGATTCTTAGTCCAAAGTTGTTAACTTAAAATCTTGTTTTCTATCAGTTATTTGCGTGTACCTATAAGCTTCAAATTAAGATTTCAACGAGAGTCTTGTGTATCTTAGGTATTATAAAAATTTGCAGTTATAATTGTAATACAGTTAAAGAAATGTGATCGATACTTATTAGTTCAGATTGAGTAATTGTAAGCTAATTATTTCACGTTAATATTAATATTCATGTCTTTGATAGACGAAATAAAAATCGATTACTATGGCAGTTGTCTTAGCTTTGCGCGAACCTAGATATATATATGGTTAAACAAAATTTTTATTAATTTTATTATTACATTTAAGGTTTAAGTAATTTTTATTGTTTGATTAGAATATAAAGAGTAAATTAAAATTCACTATTTCAAAATCATAGAAATATTTCTTTATTTAATAATTAACGGTACGGTTAAAAGTTCTATTCTTATATTTTTATAATTGATACTACACTTTATATGAGAGTAAATAAAACTTCGAAATAAGTTCTTTTATTCCACACAAAGTGGCTAAAGAAATGAAAATGAGAATAAATAAGGGGGAAAGGGGATTGGGAAAATCACGTAGAAATACAAAAAATGTTATTAGGACGGTTAGGGGACGGAGGTGATTGATTTTCAATCAATTAGAGTTCTGGATAAATTTTATTGTTGTACGGTCGTTGGTTTGATGTCTCCCAAACTATTCGAATTGCCTATTCGCGCATTAGTGCGAATAACAAAATTTTATAGCGTCGAGAGTAGTCAAAATGGTTATAGGAATATGCGAGCTGTGAAAGATGACGAAGAGAGAGTGTGCGAGAGAGAGAGAGAGAGAGAGAGAGAGAGAAAGAGAAAGAGAGAGTAAGAGAGAGAAAGTGAAAGAGAGCGACAGGTAGCGACATATATTTGTTTTAAGTTTCAATTAATATGAGTTTTTATTATTTTTATAAAGTCACATTTCGCTTTTGATTTTCATTTTTGTTTTGATTT